TTTTTAATTTTTTTAAAAAAATTTTTTAATAAAAATTGATTTTAGACAAACTTAAAAATTTTAAAGTTAAAATTTATATAATTTATAATCAGTTTTGTAGAATTATTTGTAAAGAATAACTTTAATTATTATAATTTTAAGGATTTAATTATAAAGATTTTAACTTGTATTAGAAGTAAAATAATTTTTTTACTTTAAATATATACTAAATTTTATATATATTATATATAGTATATAATTTGAAAAATTTTCTTAATTGAAAGAATTTTTTCTAAAGAAAATAATATTGATTCAATTTTTCAGATTTTTATTATAATAAATACATGTATATTAAAATAAGTATCTCCACTATTATAATTTATTCTGATGAAAAATTATAAATTGTCTTATATTTTATTTACTCAAATAATAATAAATTGCAAAAAACATATTAGAAGAAGAATGTAATTACTTTTAATTCAAATATATAATAGAATAATTAGAAAATCAATATATATAATTATTAAATATTTCTTATATTATAAAAATATAAGGCTAAAGTGAGTTTTTAGAAAATTAAGATTTTTAATAAAATTTATCAATATAATATACTAATTCATGTTTGAAACAATTAAAATAGTAAAAGAATATTTGTTTATAGTTTATTAGTAATTAATATAGCAATTCATTTTAAGGTTAAATATTTATTAATATCAAGAAATAGTTTGAAAATTTGAATTGCAATATAATTAAAAAAATATATAATGATTTTATCAATTCTTTTATTAGATTGTTATTATTAATAACTAATAGCAATACAAGTTTTTATAAAGTATTTTTGAGAAATGAAACAGTATAATAATAATATTAGAATTATTAATCTTTATAGTTTTGAAAATCTAGTATTTATAAAAGTACTTAAAAAGAATATAGCAAAATTTATATATAAAATTTAATATACTATTGAAAAACAATTAATAAAAGAAGAATAATTAAAGTTATGGAATAATGCTTTTTAAAAAATTTTCAATTATATAAATAATAGTAAGATTTATTTTATTGATATAATGCTATTTCATATTATAATATTAAAAAAGTTATATTTAACTCTTTTGGTAAAACCAAAAGACCTATTGGAAAATATGAATAAAAACTATAAAAAAATACTATATTATAATAAGATATTTATTAAAATCTAATGAGCTTAAAAATAATTACAGATGTGGACAATTGATTAATACTAATTATTACAAGTTTTTAGAATTGGAAAATTATTATTAAAAAAAATTTACTATAACTGGTTTATATTATTTTGATAAATCAATCAAATCAACTATTTATTTAATAAATTACAATTTTAAAAAATCTTTTAAATAAAAAAAACTTTAGATTATTAAGAATTTAGAAAAAATACAATATTTATTAAACAAGTTTATATGAAAATATTATATTGAATTTATTAACTTCATTTAAGTTTCTAATAGCAAGTTAACTAGGGTTTATAAATATATTAACAAATGTGATAAAGAATGTTTTGAAAAAAATAATCAAATTAATAATCTCAATATTTTTCTCTGGTCTTATAAGAAGCATTAGTAGAAATATTTATTAAAATTAATTGTAAAAAAGTTCAAATGATATCTAGTTTGTTATTATTTAAAGAAGAATATTCTGTAAAGTATATGTTTGAGAATCTGTTAGGCAAAAAATCCCTATTATAAAAACTGACATTTTTGAAGAGTTAAAATTAATATTTAAATTTTATGATATTCAACATTTTATAATATTTTAAAATACCTTTATTTCAATAGTAAGATTGATTATATAAATCAAAAAAAGTATGATTAAAAAAAGCAAGATATATGTAAAGAGTAAGATATAAATCTTATTGAAATTTCTTATTCTGTTGATTTGTTTTTTTATATAAAAAGCAAATTACAAAAGAAGAGTTATTTATTATATAAAAAATAAACTTATAAAATCATTATTTTTCAATATAATAGTTTAGTATTATTTATTTTGATCAATATAAAAATAGAAAAGCTAGATTTTGTTAAAAGAATAGTTTTAAACATCAATGAATATAATAATTCTGAAAAGTTTAACTTATTAAATAGTACACCTCAATGACCTTTTAACTTATAAATTAGTAGATGAAGCAGATCAGAAAAAACCAATAAAGTTATTAATCTTTTACTTGAGAACAAGTATATTAATTGTTTAATGGGAAAAAAAGTAAAACAAGATATATTAAGAATAACAATTTAGTTTTGATCAGACATTATATTGATAAGCCAAAATACAAGTATCTGAAATATTGTTATGAAATAATTGCAAACAGTTCAAAACCATATTATAAAAATATTACATTCTGAACAATAAAGCCTGATAAAATGCCAAAGATTAATAACTTTTCTCCTAAAAAGGAACAGTGGTTGTATTTGAAGATTTATGTACTGAGCCTAAAAAAATACAAGATAAAATTGCTCCATATTTTAGTGAAGAGTGATATACTAATATTAGTTCAATATATATAACACAAAGCTTTTTTGACTGTCCTAAACTAATAAGAAAAAAATCTTGATTATATTGTTCTTTTTAATGGCAGTGGGACATCTTTATATTTTCTCAGGACATCTTTTAGTTCCTCCACAGTTTTGTATGATGAGAAACTTTGTATATTTTGTTCAGTAAGCTCATCAGTAAAATCCGCAAGAATGGTTGCAACTCCTAATGTAAACCTTATACTTCAAGTTTTGCTTTGGTAGTCTTGAGAAAGGCACGTCCGGAAATTTTTTCTTTACGTAATATTGAGAAATCGTCGTCATCAAGCTTTAGGTTTCATCTTCGCAAATAATCGACAAGTTCCTCGGTACTTAAATCCTTAACAACATCTGCCATTGTGTGAGTTGACCTTTCTTCTGTCAAAGTAGAGGATGTGGAAATTGGTGATGAAGGTGAAGAAGCATGTGAAGACATGGTAGTATTTTTATATAGATGTTAGATGTGGTTGAAAAATCTAGTTTATGCTAGGTAATGCACGGCAAAAGTGAAATTTTTATCGTCTCTATTTTGGGTGGTTCGGTGGTTTATATACACCAGAAAGAAGTTACACTAACTGATCAGAAGATAAGACCTTGGATCCTAAGTCATTGAAATCACGCCTAACGCGTCGTTACTTTATTACAAAACGAAAAACTTGCCCATAGTAAGGCAGATACAAAAAAAAAAAATTGCGAATATATATCGCTGTAACATGACACGAATACATATAAAAAATCTATTTATTCTTTGTCAAATACTTCGCCAAACTTTTATTATCACTATCAATACTACCGATTTGTGTTCTAACTTAATAATTCATAGTTATACATCCAGGTCACGAGATGGCTTTCTTTTTCTTTATCCTTAACAATCGTTGGTGGTATATCTATATTAGTTGTCATTTTTCTGAAAACCACACCGTCTGGGACATTAATTGGGTTGTCAATCTCTTTGTTTATAAAAAATACTCTTGCGATATCTTCATTCAATTTTTCGATCTTTACTCGGAAGTTTTTACCGGTAATATGATAGACCTTAGATTCTCCATTTAAATACGAAAAAGACATTTCAGATACCATTATTATTGAGAAAACCTGCTTATGAAATGGTTGCATAACAACGAAAATTCATTAAATAATAATTTATTTGTCTAGAATAAACTATACGAACCTTATAAAAATTGCGGAAGATAAGGCCTTCGTTTTAGCGTAGCTAATATAACGATACTGAGAGTAATGTCGTTATTAACCTTACAAAGTGAAATGGTTTCTGCTTGTTTATATTTCTAGAATAACTGACACGTTAGTGATTTTACTTTATCAGGCGTATCTCTGATTCATAACATAGTGGAATCATATAAATACTAGAAACAGTGAGATTTTCGGTGTAAACCAGCATAAAGTACAAAACCCGTTACGATTCTGACTCCATAGAAAGTGTTGTCATACGCAATAAGCTGAGAATTGAGTCATAAACGCATGAATGAATCGAAAGTTGGTTAATCGCAACGGCCATCCGGAATTGCGGAGATTACAAAGATCCATAACTGATAACAATGTCGATAAGAAACTTCTGACCTTTTGCCTTTATTACCTTTTCGAACTTTGTTTTCGCCCGTCTTTACTGCAAAAGCATATATTCTATAGAAGTATTTCACAACCTATATAAAACGACTATCACGAACTTCTATGATATATAAAAAATAAAAGCTGAAACCACGCTCTCACCACCATATGGTTAAGCGAAATGCGTGGCTTACCTTTGTGCGTGAAAGGTTTACCGCCCATATGGCTAAGTAAGATCATTTCACGCACACCTCTGCCTGTCTGACCACCATATGTTAAACCAGCCAGCAGACGACTACGAAAAAGAGGTTACCGTCCTTATGACAAAGTAATGGTCTTCCTTTCGCACTTCCAGTACGTCCGCCGTCCATATGACTAAACGGGCGTATAGGAAATTGTGTATAGAAAATCGTGTTTGGAGCAAAATATGCACATTATTGTTAGTAGTAGATCAATTACTTAGAACTATCGGAAAACGCGTTCTCTCAAAATGTCATACATAAGTCCTGAGCCAAGAATTATGGGATCTAAGTTCTCTAAATTTCATATTTCATTGGAAACACGCGACATTGACAATTTCTTTAAAGATTTACCAGCTTCTAAGTGGTCGCTGGGGACTTATGTCAATGGAATTATCGAAGGCCCAGACAGTGATCTTACCTTCGATCAACTACTTACCAACTTCATAGAAAGCTTCGAACATATAAAAAAGTTACTTTCTATTCCGTTATCGATCTTTCATTTTGTGATAATTACATAAAATGGTTAAAGGTATTCTTGTCGCTTTCTCTTGCTTTATTGATACTAGATTGAATTT